ATAATTACAACCTATTATAGATATTAACAATTTCGAACAACTTAGTTAATCAAAGTACTAAAGTTATTTTTTGGATTATCACAACAGTAAAATTCATAGTAAAACACTACCATGCGGAAGGCACACATTTGTTAAGTAATTTCTAGTACATTCTGAAAGAAAAAGTATACACATTTAACTATTTTAGAGTAGAAATATTAATAAACTTTCTTACCGTTACAGCAGGGATCAGGCATTTTGAAGTTGTATCAACACTGCACACTGTCGAGTTACTCTGAAAGTCAGTTCTGAAATGTGCTTGCAGACAAGCAACGCTCCACGCTTATATAGGCGACGGATAAGGGTTTCCACTGCGTGTCGTGTGCAGCAATGACAGTTACTAGTTTTCCGAACCAATTCACTTCCTCTCTCTGTCTCTCTCTTTCTTTCTTTCTCTTTCTCTCTCATTCTCTTCCTCTTTCTCTATCTCTCTCTTTCTCTTTTTACACACACATTCTCTTATATATAACTTACTTTCTCTTACTTACTCTCTCTCTTTCTCTTTCTCTTTCTTTCTCTATTTCTCTCTTTCTTTCTCTCTCTCTCTCTTTCTTTCCACTGCGTGTCGTGCGCAGCAATGACAGTTACTTGTTAAGGAATTTCGAACCAATTCACTTCCTCTGTCTCTCCCTTTCTCTCTTTCCTTCTCTTTCTCTCTCTTTCTTTCTCTCTCTTTCTCTCTTTTTTTTTTCTCTCTCTTTCTTTCTCTTTCTCTCTCTCTTTTTTTTCTCTCTCTTTCTTTCTCTTTCTCTCTCATTCTCTTCCTCTTTCTCTATCTCTCTCTTTCTCTCTCTTTACACACACATTCTCTTATATATAACTTACTTTCTCTCTCTCTATCTTTCTCTTTCTCTCTCTCTTTCTCTTTCTCTTTCTTTCTCTTTCTGTCTTTCTCTATTTCTTTCTCTCTCTCTCTCTTTCTTTCTCTCTCTCTCTCCCTTTCTCTCTCTTTCTTTCCACTGCGTGTCGTGTGCAGCAATGACAGTTACTTGTTAAGGAATTTCGAACCAATTCACTTCCTCTGTCTCTCCCTTTCTCTCTTTTTCTCTCTTTCTTTCTCTTTCTCTCTTTCTTTCTTTCTCTCTCTTTCTCTCTCTCTCTCTCTCTTTCTTTCTCTTTCTCTCTCTCTCTCTATCTTTATCTTTCTTTCTGTTTCTCTTTCTCTCTCTTTTTTCTCTCTCTCTTTCTTTCTCTCTCTCTATCTTTCTCTCTCTCTCACTCAGAGAGATAGCTTGTATGTGTATGTATATATGTGTGTATATATATGTATATATGTATCTATATATGTATGTATATGTATATATATATGTATATATTTGTATATATATGTATTCATATATATGTATATACATGTATATATATGTATATATTTGTATATATATGTATATATATGTATATATTTGTATATATTTGTATATATATGTATATATATGTATTTATATGTATATATATGTATATATATATATGCGTATATATGTATATACATGTATATATATGTATACATATATGTGTGTGTATGTGCGTGCGTGCGTGCGTGTACATACATATGTATATATACATATATGTATATTTGTACATATAGATAGATACGCATGTATATATATACATATATCTATCTAAGCAACTATATATATATGTGTATATATATATTTATATACACACCCCTGTCAATTTATCAGTTTCTATCTCTGTCTACCTATATAACAATCTATACATCTCCCTCTTTCCTATCTGTCTATCGGTCTCTATATGTTGATATAACTGCCTTCCTTTTCGTCTTATCCCTCTTATTGTAAGAAATCACGACTGCAGAATTTCCTTCACAATCACGACCGAAAACCCTTTCCTCTTTTCTTAATCATATTTCTCCATATATTCTCATCTGCACTTTGCCCTTTCTTTGTCTCAGTCTCCTCGATTTTTTTTTTAATTCTTGCCTTATGTCTCTCGGGTTTAAGGGAGTTTTTGCATATTTTCTGCCAACAAGCATTTCCTTTGCTCTTGAGACCAGCTTAAACATTTTAATCCAACAAGTTTGGCCTTTATCGATAAAAAATAAAGTATATAGGTAGAAACTGTATTCAAATTTCTATTGACAGTATCTGATCATTGGTTTCTAAACCAGTTTCGTTGATCAGTATAGTTAATACTCTTCCGGGTTGCACCATGCTCTTTGGTCCTGTTGGTGCACGGCCACTTAATCTTCGATCTGCTCATTTACCCCTTCGCCAATGTGGAAGCGAGTGTAGAGGGGAAAAAAAGTAGATGGATAGACATTTTATATTGTATATAATATATGAGAGAGAGAATGTAGAAAGAGACAGGTACATTCTATACTGTCTCAAATTCTTAGGATCTTCAAAACTGAACGAATTTTTCCGATTTCCTAGATTTTTCGTATGAAAAATCAGATATTGATTGGTCAGGCCTAAATTCATTATAAATCTAGCCTAAGAGATGACCTTAAGGAAGAGAATAAAAAAAGTATAGTAACTTAGAGAGCAAGAGAGAAACACGTGAGGGAGTTGCCAATGAAAGGAATTGCAGAATCAACTCAAGATGTTAAATGAGATACATTTCAAAGGCCTCTCGCTCCCTTCCTCCGATTTTCCTTTCCTTCATATACATAAATGTTTGTGGCAGGAACATAGATCTTATATAAATAGAATGAGAATTAAAAACCTTTTCACATTCTTTCATTTATTGAAACACATTCCAATAATTCAGTCATAACATACGAAAAACAAACAAGATAGGAGAATAAATATTTCCGTTGCTTGGTCATGCAGAAGGCAGCAGTCGAGTCACACGTCTATGGGCAACAGCTGCATGGCTTCGTGCATCTCGTCGCGCACGCCTCCTTGGAGGGACACGCGCAGCCAGACGAGCCTAGAATATAATGTATAGTTAGGGAATTAGGGAATTAAAATGTCGAGATGGAGAGAGTTCCCTCTTAACCGGGAAAATGTAGGGAAAATACCGTGCTCATTTTTATATTTTTTGTGAAATATTTCTGCACATTTCTGCACAAATGAGTCAGTGACTTTACCTGTTTTCACCTTTTCTTGAATTGGCGGAATTTATATATATATATATATATATATATATATATATATATATTGATAGATAATGAAAATAACCCCAGTGATAGTTTTACCACTATAAAAGTTATAATTAATGTTTATAACAAAGTATCAGCAAGGTTAAGATCTCGTAAATCAAGGAAAAGGGGTAAACGGGCGAGACTGGCAGTACTCAGAATTGGCTCAGTGGCGAGTTAGTACCAGTGCAGCCATCCAAGTGTAAGAACAATTTAAAAAGGAAACTCAGTGGGCATGGCATGTACGTACAGGTCATACCCGTCGGCATTGGGTCGGTTTGTAAAAGGTGCATCTTTTACAGATTAGATTAAATAATAATAATAATAATAATAAAACTAAAATAAATAAATCTACATCTAAATTGCCTTTTGGTTCAAAATAGATATAGAGATGGACAATAAACTAAACTTTGACACTTCAAAAATGCACACTTTCCTATCGATATATCATTAATCAAAAAAAAAAAAAAAAAAAAAAATCTCATGCTTACATTTCTCACACGGGGCACACTTGCAACTTGCACATTTGCAGTCTTTCGTGCAGCCACCCTCGGCACAAACGCATTTCTCTGAAAAGATTAATGATAGAATCAACAGTAAATTCGTAAATAAAACTGATTACCATGCAAAAGACTAAACATTTTAAGGAATTTCTGGTAAAGTCTGAAAAAATATATACATATTTCACTATTTTAGAGTAGAAATATTAACAAACTTTCTTACCGTTACAGCAAGGATCAGGCATTTTGAAGTTGTATCAACACTGCACACTGTCAAGTTACTCTGAAACTCAGTTCTGAAATGTGCTTGCGTGACAGGCAACGCTCCACGCTTATATAGGCGATTGATAAGGGATTTCACTGCGTGTCGTGTGCAGCAATGACAGTTACTGGTTAAGGAATTTCGAACCAATTCACTTTCTCTCTTTCTTTTTTTCTCTTTCTCTCTCTCTCTCTCTCTCTTTACACACATATACACGTGTGTATATATGCACATATACACGTGCGTATATATGCACATATACACGTGCGTGTATATGCACATATACACGTGCGTATATATGCACATATACACGTGCGTGTATATGCACATATACACGTGCGTATATATGCACATATACACGTGCGTGTATATGCACATATACACGTGCGTGTATATGCACATATACACGTGCGTGTATATGCACATATACACGTGCGTGTATATGCACATATACACGTGCGTGTATATGCACATATACACGTGCGTATATATACACGTGCGTATATATGCACATATACACGTGCGTATATATGCACACATACACGTGCGTATATATGCACATATACACGTGCGTATATATGCACACATACACGTGCGTATATATGCACACATACACGTGCGTATATATGCACACATACACGTGCGTATATATGCACACATACACGTGCGTATATATGCACACATACACGTGCGTATATACGCACACATACACGTGCGTATATACGCACACATACACGTGCGTATATACGCACACATACACGTGCGTATATACGCACACATACACGTGCGTATATACGCACACATACACGTGCGTATATACGCACACATACACGTGCGTATATATGCACACATACACGTGCGTATATATGCACACATACACGTGCGTATATATGCACACATACACGTGCGTATATATGCACATATACACGTGCGTATATATGCACATATACACGTGCGTATATATGCACATATACACGTGCGTATATATGCACATATACACGTGCGTATATATGCACATATACACGTGCGTATATATGCACATATACACGTGCGTATATATGCACATATACACGTGCGTATATATACACGTGTATATATATACATATACACGTGTATATATACACATGCATGTATATATATACACATGCATGTGTATATACATACATGTGTATACGTGTACATTTGTATATATACATATGTCTATCTAACTATATATATACATGTTTTTGTGTATATATATACACATATCCCTCTCAATTTATCTGTTTCTGTCTATTTATCTCTATCTCTGCCTATCTATATAACAATCTCTATATATCTACTCTATATATCTCTCCCTCTCTCCTATCTATCTATCGATCGATTGATCTCAGTATGAAGATATATCTGCCTTCCTTTTCGTCTTATCCCTCTTATTGTAAGAAATCACGACTGCAAAATTTCCATCACAATCACGACCGAAAACACTTTCCTCTTTTCTTGTTTATTAACCAGATTTCTCCATAAATTCTCATCTGCACTTTGCCCTTTGTCTCAGTCTCCTGATTTTTTTGCTTATTTTCTGCCAACAAGCATTTCCTTTGCTCTTGAGATCAGTTTGAACATTTATCTAACAAGTCTGGCCTTTATCGATAAAAAATAGTATATACAGCAGGTAGAAACTGCATTCGAATTTCTGTTGACAGGATATGATCATGGCTTTCGAAACCAGTTTCATTTAGCAGAATATTTATTGCTCTTCCAGGTTGCACGTTGCTCTTTGGTCCTGTTGGTGCACGGCCACTTAATCTTCGATCTGCTCACTTACCCCTTTGACGTTTCGCCAGTGTGGAAGCGGGTGTTAGAGGGAGGAAGGGGGAAAAGGTAGATGAATAGACATTTTATATTGTCTATAATATATACATATATGAGAGAGAGAGAATGTAGAAAGAGACAGGTACATTATATACTGTCTCAAAAGTCAGATGAAGTTTTGTATTCCATGCTTAGGATCTTCAAAACTGAACGAATTCTATACCTCCTGTTTGGAAGTTCACTTTTCCGATTTCCTAAATTCTCGTATGAAAAGTCAGATATTGATTGGTCAGGCTTAAATTCATTATAAATCTGGCCTTTGAGATGACCTTAAGGAAGAGAGAAAAAATACTGTAGTAACTTAGAGAGCGAGAGATAAATACGTGAAGAAATGGCCAATGAAAGGAATGGCAGAGTAAAATCAAGATTTTAAATGCGACACATTTCAAAGGCCTCTCGCTCCCTTCCTCCGATTTTCCTTCTCCCTCACATACATAAATGTTTGTGGCAGGAACGTAGATTTCATAAAAGAATGAGAATTAAAAACCACTTTTTCACATTCTCTCATTTATTCAAACACATTCCAATAATTCAGTCATAACATACGAGAAACAAGATAGAAGAATAAATATTTCCGTTGCTTGGTCATGCAGAATGCAGCAGTCGAATCACACGTCTATGGGCAACAGCTGCATGGCTTCGTGCATCTCGTCGCGCACTTCTCCTTGGATGAACACGCACAGCCAGACGAGCCTAGAATATAATATATAGTTTGGCAATTATAATGCGAGGGAGGGAGGGAGAGTTCCCTCTTAATCCAGTGCCGCCGGGGAAAATAAGAACATGGGGAAAATGCCGTGCTCATTTTTTATATTTGAGCAATATTTCTGCACATTAGATGGCTCCGCTACTGCTTAGCTACAAAGGAGTCAACTAGTAGACCTTTTGAATTGGCGGTAATTTTTCTTACTAATACTAAAAATATCAATTGGTTACTTTTTTATCATAAATCTTTTAATTAAGGTTTATAACAAAGTATTAGCAAGATAAGATTAAGGTCTCGTAAATCAAGGAAAAGGGGTAAACGGGCGAGACTGGCAGTACTCGTAACTGGCTCATGGCCATTTAGTACCAGTGTAGCCATCAAGTGTAAAAACTTTTAAACAAGTACTCAGTGGGCATGGCTTGTACGTACAGGTCATGCCCGTCGGCATTGGAGTGATCTGTAAAAGCTGCATCTTTTACAGATATGAAAAAGGATCTTCTAAAATAAGAAGAAAAAATCTACATCTAAATTGCCTTTTTCGCTCTACATAGAATTAGAGAGAATACTTAAAAATGCATGCCTCCCTGTCGATAAATATTTGATTTATTTCTCCCCAAACAAAAAAAAAGGTCCTCATGCTTACATTTCTCACACGGGCCACATTTGCAGCTTGTGCACTTGCAGCTCTTCGTGCAGCCACCCTCGGCACAAACGCATTTCTCTGAAAAGTTTAATGATAGAATCAACAGTATATTCATAATAAAACTGAATACCATGCGAAAGACTAAACAATTCTGTTAAGGAATTTCTGGTGAAGTCTGAAATGAAAAATATATACTTCACAATTTTAGAGAAATCATATTCACAAACTTTCTTACCGTTACAGCAAGGATCAGGCATTTTGAAGTTGTATCAACACTGCACACTGTCAAGTTACTCCGAAACTCAGTTATGAAATGTGCTTGCGTGACAGGTAACGCTCCACGCTTATATAGGCGACGGATAAGGGTTTCCACTGCGTGTCGTGTGCAGCAATGAC